CAGCAGTGAGATCTGGGCCCCCAGTGCCTTCCCAGGCTGGTGGGTGCCGTGGCCCAGTGGGCATTGCGCAATGCTAGCCCAAGAGCACCGGCCCCCCCAGATCCCCCAGCCAGGGGGAGCTGCAGCTGGATGGCAGGGACACAGGCCATGGCCATTCCCAGCTGCACAGCAGCCAGGGTCACATTCCTGGGATAGCTGGGAGCTTTGCTATTCACGCAGGGAAAGGTCACCCTTGTGCGCGCAGGCAGCTGCTGGGACCACCGCCTGGGCAGGGCAGGGGAAGGAGCAGTCCCGGGGGGCAGAGAGGAAGCCCAGCAGCTCCTGCCAGGGCTGAGCTTCTCCCTGGCTCCAGCCCAGCAGGATCCAGCCCTGGCACAGGCGAGGAGGGGCAGCTGCACACAGCCCTAAGCAGGGGGCAAACAAGGCCACAGCATGACAGAAGATGGAAACCCCAGTAAGCAAGGAGAGCTGGTAGCAGAGACACACCATTTCTCCGTGACCACCCACAGGACAGCAGGGCCAAGGCCATAGAGGTGCCGGGGTGACCCAGGACTGGGACAGCTTTCACTGGGGCAAGACGAGCCAGCTGAGGGCAAGAGATTTATTGGTCATTCTCTATATACACTTATATATTAATCTGTAGTAGAAAGCAGCAGTCACTAAGTGCACAGAGCAGCACCAACTCGTGCCTCTTCTCACGCTGCAGCTGGAGACCCGGCCACACAGCCCAGCCCAAACTTACCCTCTGCGCTACAGCCAAATATGGGGGGGAAAGACTAAACCTGCAGGCAGTGCGGCCGAGGAGCACAGGAGTGACTAGCAGAGTCTGAGCTGAGCCAGGACCAAAGACCATGTCTCCTGGGGTGCAGGTAGAGCTCTGACTTGATCCCAAAAATACAGTCACCTAGCACAGTGCTGGGAAAGGTAGGGACAGAGCCCTGAGGTTGTTCTGCCCCACCCTGGAGGTGGAGGTAGGACCACAAGTGGGAAGGATAGCTCCTCCACCACTGAGCCAGGCCATAGGGCCTGGGCAAGTATGTGGTAGGGCACAGTGAGTGCCAGGGAGCGCCCGGGGCTTGGAGCAGCTGCCTGGGGGCAGCCACAGGGATGAGGGCACAGCTGCGGGCAATGCTCCACCGCAGGCATCCAGCTGGGGTGGCAGATGCTGCGTGGCTGGGAGGGCTGGTCTGCCCCATGCCTGGCGCTGGCAGGAGGAGCAGCGAGCGCAAGCGTCCTCTGGCAGGGTGACACCACGCTGGGAACCAAGCAGCCCAGGCTCCTGGCTGCAAGGGCTCCCGCTGTCCCAGGTGTCAGGCAGTGCAGGACCCCGGAGCTGGCTGGGCCTGTTTCAGTCACTTGATGAGCACCTGGTTGCACAGAGCACACACAAACACCGTCTCCCTCTGAGCCTCCGGGGCTGAAAAGGAAAGCAGGTGTCAGAGATGCTCCCCTTCCCCACCACGGGCTAGGGACCCCAGCCATGGAGCTGCTCTGAGAGCCTGCAAACCCATCACCACTCTGTCCCGAGCCAGGCTGCACTGGGCAGGTCCTGTCTACCCTTCCCACCAGGGCTGGGGCAAATCCCTGCTGCAGACAGGTGGGAGCAGGAGCTCTGCCCTCCTCCACCTTTCCACTCACCCGTGGCTCCCATCACAGCCTTGGGGACTTTGAAGGAACAACACCTGGAGCAGAAGCTGTTCCCACAGTTACTGCAGCTCCGCTGTGGAGAGAGATGGAGGTGAGATACTACTCTGGGCCCACTCCCGGCCCTCCCCAGCAAACTCCAGTGCCAGAGCACTGCTAACAGCATTCCCCACTGAAGGGGAGTGGGTGCAAGCCCTGAGCCCCAACAGCAACAGCAGAGAGGTCATCTGCCAACAACACCTGGACAAACCGCCCAGGCCTAATGCTGGATCTGCATCGGAGTATGCTCTAACATCGCAGGCAGCCTGTGCCCAGCCTGAGAAAGCACTAGGAGCACACGCTCCAGGAGGTTTCAGGACATTGTATCACTTCCTATGCTGTAACCCTGGAGGGACGCAAGCTCCAGAGAGTCCCAGACATATATCAGACTAACCCAGGAGTAAGGGGAGGCAGCAGGAAGACAGCAATGTGAGTCTGGAGAGGACAAGAGATACATCCTCCCCAGAACTGCCCAGGGGATGGTGCGCCAAGCATCACGTGCAGGGGCTCAGATAAGACAACAGGGGTGGCCTTCGCTCCTCTAGTTCCCACAAGCAGACCCATGCCCTGCTTCACCAGAAAGCTCTCAGGCCACAGGAAATGGGCTAAACCAGGGCACAGAGCAGGTGCCTTCAACATCAGCACACGCGGGTTTGGTCTGAGGCAGCTTCCAAAGGAGCAAATAGACACAGGCTCCACAGCACAAGGGATCCCTGACACCATTAGGCATGCGACAACACCCAGCACTTAGCTGAGGTCATCTGCTGCTGGGCTGTGACTGAGGCCAGCCACCCGAGCTGCCAGAGAAAGCCAGGACAAGCCACCTCTGCCCCAGGTGCAGGCAGCAAGCTGGGGTAGAAGCAGAAGACTCACCCTTTTCTTGAGCACAGAGAAGGTGGCTGCACAGCCCGTGCAGCTCCCTAGAAGAAAGAGAGTAGAAGTCAGGCAGGGCTCTGCTGCCTGGAACTGTGAGAGGTACAGGAACACCCACGGCTGTTGTAAAGGCTCAGCTCGGAGATGACATTGCTGCACCTTCCCACCCTTGCCTTTCCTAGGAGGGCTGGTAACATCCTCCCCATGGACGGGGGAGGTCATTGGAGGTGTCAGCACAGCCCTAGCAGGTACCACACCACTCTGTTCGCTCCCAGTTCTGTGGTCACCACTGGGGGCAGCACAGACTCCGCTCTGCTGAGCTCCCCCAAGCAGCACCTGCTCCCAGACTTACCGAAGTTGTTGCTGGGGTAGCGCTTGCGCAGGCGCTCGGTCAGGCGTGACACCTTGCTGCGGATCACCTCATTTTTGCTCATAAAACCGTTGTCTGGGAGGCTGAGGTCAAAATCTGCTGAGCACTGAGAGCTCTCATCATCCTCCTGCAGAGAGCAGAGCCAGCTGAGCACAGAGGGGTGGCTGGGGGACACGCTCGAGGGCTGCAGGGCAGCCCACCCCAGAGATGGGCACCCAACAAGAAGGATGCTCCACCTGGCATTGCACAAGCCACCCAGCAAACCAGGCAAAGGCTGCCACCTCCAGCTCAGAGGAGACGCCCCTCTTGCACACCTTGGCACGGCAGTACTCACCATGA